CGCCCGCGTCCCCAGGTTGCGCGCGGCTCCGCCCCGGTGCGCCCCACCCAGCCCCGGTGGCGGGAAGCAGGTAAGCCGCTGGCCACGGCGCGGAGCCTCCGGGGTTCCTGCCCCATCCCCCCCCGCAGGCCCCCCCGGGTATAAATAACTTTTGCGTGTTTCTAAAGGGGAAAAGACGGTTCCGAGTTTAGAGACGGAGGTCAGCGCCAGTCCTCTCGCACCTGTCTGGGGCGCCCAGAGGATGTGGTCCCCGACTCCTGTCCCAAAGGACCTCCTGAGCTCTTTGGGCTAAAGGTCATCCCGCTGCACCGCCGGACAGTGGACCAAGGGCTTCCTGGGGTCTCCCCTGGAACCCTGGACTCACTTCGCACCCCTGTCCTGGCCCTGCCTACTTTTCTGGCACCCCTGCACCTCCTCACCCTTTAAGGGGGTGCTGCCACCTCCAGGCACAGCGGATTCTGCCTGAGCAGTTCCCTGAAACCTCTCTATTCCAACGCAGCACCCCCCATCTCCTCCATCTGCAAGCCCCTTGCCCTGGCAACTTCCGCAGTCTCTGCCCTGCCCCTGTGCCGCTCTGACCCCCCCAGACTCATTAGGGGTACTCTCTCTGGCCCTCCGCCTTGGTTTCCCATACAGCTAGTGTCCCCTCACTGCTGGGTTAACACACAAGAGCCTTTGGAAACAGTAGGGACTCCTCATTGGGACATTCCCCCCTTCCTGCATCGCCCCTCCCCTGTGGGGAGACAGGTTGGGTGGGGGGTGAGTCTCGCTGCACTCAGTGTACGCTGTTGGAGTTTTATCGGGGTTGAGGATGCACCCACTGCGTGTGGGCAGCTGAAAGGACAGTCTCAGCCTCCCCAGCATGGGCCTGGTGCCCAGTGGGGCCCCTGGGTGCTGACCGACCTGTTTCCCAGTGGGCCAGCCCCGCAGGTGGGTAGGGTTGGTCTGAGGCGGGAACCCCCCAACTGCTACCGTGAGCCGGGATCCTGGCCGGGTGGGAATGGGGCCTCCAGGATTAAAGGCCCAGACCAGCAGCAGGGGACACCATGGGGAGGGGAGGCTCCTTTGCCCACCTCCCTTCTGCCGGCTGGAAAGTCCTGGGAGGAAGTTCTAGGAGCTGGTGGGGCTTGAGGAACGTCCTGTGACCTGTGGGGCTGGGCCCTCCCTGGTGGCGCAGCGGGTTGGTTGGAGCGCTGCTCTGTGAAGCCAAGCCAAGCCGTGGCCACTTCAGTGGGAGTTCGACCCCCGCGCCGGAGCTGCCCCACAGGGCCCACAGACCCTCCTGTCTCGCTGCCGCTCCCCTCAGCCCTCTACTTTGTGAATCTGCCTGTTCTGCTCCCCACTCTGTCTCTGGCGAATCCTCTCGCTGCCCCTGCACCTCTGGCCTGTACCCCATTTCTGTATGCATCAATAAATACAATCTTAAAAGAAAACGTGGGGCCGCGGCTTGCGCTGCCCGAGTTCCAGTCCTGGCCCTCCTACCTTCCTCACTGGGCACATCCCAGAATTCCGTGGTGGCTCTTATTTCTCTCTCTGGGGCCAGATCTTTGCTGGGGCATAGGAGGGTGAGGAGGGGGCTGCCCCAGGCCCTTGACACCCCACTGCGCCCCTGCCATGATGAAGAGACAGCTGCATCACGTGCGCATAAAACGAGTCCACTGTGTCCCCACTTGGGTCAGGCTGGACTCGCCAGACAGCTTCTTGACACCAGGTGCCACCCTTCTGCCACCTGGGAAATTCCATGGTGTCCCCGCCCCGTTCCAGTCCCTCCTCCACACTGGGCCTGACCGACCACACTGGGCCTGGGCTTGTCCACTTCCCCGGCAGCTGGGAAGGTCCCTGAGGGCAAAGCCTGCCTCCTTGCTCCGTCCCTCTTAGGCTTGCCCCAGCCTGAGCTCCAGCTCCTGCCTGGGGAGGGGTCAGTCCACGTGGCCATTGCAGCAGCTGCTGGACAACCGACCCAAGTCACGCCGTCAGGTCACCCCGGCTCTGGCCTCCCACCCAGGCTCAGGCTGTCCTCCAGCCAGACCAGGAGGCTCTCAGGAAAGGCACCCGGGCGCTGCCTGCTTGGCCTGGGCGGCAGGAGGGTCTGTTATAAGATCCTTGCAGCTTTGGCACATGTGCCCACGCGCCCGTTGAATCATAGAAGGCTGAAAGCCTCAAAGGCTGGATCGCAGGCCGTTCCTTCGAAGGATGCTGTAATCAGACACTTCTGGACTCAGAAGTTTCTGCCAGTGGACGTCGACATGGTCGTTTTAGAACTGAGGCGAAACAAGGGGACCTCTGAGGTCACCAGCCAGCCCTCCCACGGCCTTCTAATTGCCAGGCCCAGCCATGCCACGTCGCGTGGGCCTGTGGACTGGGCTGTATCCCCGGCAAGGGCCTGGGCAGCGTGGGGTAGTCACAGGAGCTGGACGGTCACGGTGGTTTGAGCGGCAGTGAAGACCTGCCATCAGCGACACTCATCTCCAAGCCCAGCCCGAGAGAGCTGACAGTGTTAGCCGCTCCCTGGCGGGGTGACCTGGGGGAGTTCACCCCTTTGAGCCCCACGTACTTGGCAAAATGGAAATGACAGGCCTCCCTGGTGGCGCAGGGGCTAGGTCTCAGCACCACGCAGCTGCCCGCGGCCATGCGGTCTGATCCCGGCCTGGGAGGTGACCCACAGGGCGCGGCAGACCGCTCCTGCCTCCCCGCTGCAGTGTTTCAGTGGATCTGCCTGTTCTGCTCCCCACTGTCTCTGGTGAGTCCTCTCACCCCCCCACACCTCTGGCCTGCACCCCAGCGCTTGTGTGCATAAATAAGTCAGCCTTGAAAGGCGGAAAGGCCTTCTCCCCTCCTTCCTGCCTCTCACTCCCGTGCCCTGTCTCGAAGGTGGCACTTAGCTGTTTCCTCCAGCAAGGCTAGTGTTGTGGCCTCCATTTTGTGGGTGAGACCACCGAGGCCCCGGGCCCCTGGCGGGAGGCAGGGCCGAGCAGGCACCCTGTGGGACCAGAGGGCCCTGCCCCCCTCACACCCTGTTGCTTTGGCAGATTGTGAAAACCTGAGTCTGGAAGTGTCTGCAGGCGAAGCTGGCAGGATGTGGGTGGGGAGGCCGGCAGCTGACGCGAGGCGGTGGAGCAGGGTCGGAGGCTGGGCAAGAGCATCGCGTCTTGCATGCCGCGCAGGCTACTTGCGTGGGGCCGGGAGGCGCCAGCCCTGAGTGGCGCTCGACCCTGGCTGGCCCCGTGTGATTTCTAGGGCTCTCAGAACTCTCCCTCAAGTCAAAAGCAAGTCCCAGGGCGGGGCTGTGCCCCGGGGCTTCCCACAGGGCTGGCGGCCAGTGCCCTGGAGCCCAGAGGGCTGGGGGCAGGAGGACCTGGCCAGACCGGCTCCCACCAGCCCCCATTTCCCATCTCCTCAGGGGCGCCGTGCAGGCCTCAGGCCAGCTGCCCTCTCTAAGTGGCCTGCCTGGTCAGGCGGCCTGCAGAGACTGAGGCCCGAGGCGGCAAATGCTCTAGCCTTGTGGCCTGAGCAGGTACCAGCTTTTGTCTCTGGCCACGCAAACACAAGTGAAGTGTAGCTTCAAGGTCTGGGACACCCCCTTTTCCAGAGGGGACGGGGGTCACTTTGCAAGAAACAGGACACTCTTTTCCCAAGTGCTAGCCCCCACCAGGGCCCCGGGAGTGCAGGGGCTGTTGTGTGGTGCTCCCAGCCGTGGTCTGGAAACCTTATCTGGGAAACACTCCCCTGGGGGCAGGGGCCCCCCCAGACCCCCGCTCTCAGGCTGTCATGGAGCTCCTGGCTCCATGTCAGTGAGCTGAGGACAGGCCTGAGCCAGGCAGAGGGGCAGCTCAAGGGGCACCTGCAGGACGGACAGCTGGGCACAGGGCAGTGTGCGAGCGGAGACCCTCCTGTTCCTGTGACCCCGGCTAGCCCCAGTGGGCAGCCGCTGCCTCCCCCAGCCCTCAGGGCGTCACGGCCATGCCCCGGAGCCCCCCGGAGTGGGGTGGCAGCGACCAGGGCTTTACCTCAGAAGACCCTTCTGACATAGCCCTGCCTGGGGGTGGGGTTGGGGACACGGGGGTGCTGGTGTCTGGAGCCGAGCTGCAGGATGCAGGCAGCTGGCCTGTGTCTGCTGTGGGGGCCTGATGGGGGCCCAGCAGGGGCAGAGCCAGAGATCTCAGGCTGGCAGCAGGCCAAGTCCAGAGGCAGCCCTCAGCAGCACTCCCAGCCCTGCGGCAGAGCGGCAGCCCCATTGCTCACTGCAAACCGCAGAGGCCGGGGAGCTGGCGGCTGGGCTGTTCTCCAGCATGCCCCATGCCGTCTGCGAGGTGCTCAGCAGCCAAGCTGGGTGGGAACCCCTGGACAGGTGCCATCAGCCCAGATGCTAGCGGTGCGGGTTCCCCCCGGCCTGTGGGAGTCGGTGTTCCCCAGGCTGGCTCCCCGCGCTGCACCCACGGGTTGGCCCCCTCCACCGAGGGGCCCTAAGCCAGCCCTGAGGCCTGGGCCCCAGCTTCCAGTGAGTGACACTGCACTTGGGAGCGGGGTGCAGGGGCCCGGGCTCTCCTGGAGCTGTGCTGTCTCAGGAGTGGCTGAGAGGCGCAGTGGAGTGGAGCTGGGGTGGGGGGGGCGGGGGGCGCGCAGTGGCAGGAAGTTGCACAGCAAGGGCCTCCCCCAGCATCTGCAGCAGCTGGGGTGCCTGGCCACCCTCCCTTCCAGCTGGGACCGCTCTGGCTCTGGGTCGACCACAGCAGGCCTGGGTCCTCTGGTGACTCAGCACCAGCCGCAGGCCCGGAGCAGGGCCTCTTCCGGGGCGGGGGAGGGGAGGAAGAGGTGGTGAGAGGAACCGCACCCCCAAAGACAGGCAGAGGTCCCCGGGCCCTCCAGTTCCGGGACCCCTCCTGTCCCTCCATGCCAGAGGGTCACCAGAGCAGCTGGTCCAGGAAAAAGGACGTTTTATTCCATAAATAACTCCCGCTCTTGCTCACACCGACCCCGCTTCTGCCCGTGGACGCAGGAGGCCGTGTGCACAGGTCATGAATGCAGGGCCAAGAGGCCCTGGGCAGGCGGCAGCCCTCCCTTGCCGGAAGCGCTGGAGCCCGAAACCGGGGCCGCCTGCTTCTGGCCTGCGCTCGGGCCAGTGGTCACAGAGCCCTACGCCCCTCAGGCCTGGCAGCAATGGTCAGGCAGGTGGAGACCCCAAGAGTGGGGATGGGTAGAGCTTGACAGTGGCCACACAGCTACTCAGAAAGAAAAGCAGAGTCAAACCACACACAGAGTGCAAACAATTGGGGGTGCAGACGTCACTCCCCACAACCACCCGGTTCCTATGGAGGCGGCCTGAGCTGGTCCCCGGCTCCAGCTTGGCCCCGAGTTATGGCTGGGCCTTCCGTAAGGCATAGACAGGCGGGGATGACCCGGCCTGCGCTGGGTCTGGGGCCGAGTGGGGGCCCCGGCTCCCGCCCAGCAGCCATGCTCCTCCCCACGACCCACGTCTTCCAGTGCCACGTGGCGCTTCCAGGCTCCAGGCTTCCATCTGGGATGCAGGACCCCAGCCACCAGCGCCAGCCCAGGCCCAGCCTCCTGCTGGGTTGGTTCAGCAGGGGAGGGGACAGGGAAGAAAGGGGAAGAGTCACTTGGGGGCCGCCGGGGTGAGGGGAGAAGCACCAGGCCCAGGGGCGTGTGGCCGCAGGGACAGAGGGTGTCCTGGGCCACCCAGCCTCCTGCCCAGGCTACACGGCGGCCCTGCCCCTCCGGTGCCCAGGCCCTCTGTTCTAGAGGCTGCCCCAGGTCTCCGGTGGGGGGAACTGGTCCACGTCCCCCGTCTCGGTGTAGGTCTGGTCGCCCATGGTGAAGAGGAGCTTGTAGCGCAGGCGAACCTTCTCCTGGCAGACAGCACAGCACAGGGTCAGAGGAGGCGAGGCCCCCGCCCCCGCCCCCCCCACAGCGGGCCTCACCTTCTGGGGGTTGGCGAGGAGCAGGACCTGGGTGATGGCCGAGGGGTGGCCGATGGGGTTGAAGGCTGGCAGCTCCGTGCCCGAGGGCGGCTGCAGCTTCACTTTCATGACCTGTGGGTGGTAGGGCCGCGGCCAGCCACCTCCTCACCCACTGCCCCGGAGCCGCAGCCTGCCTGCCTGCGCCTCCCTGCGGCTGTCCGCTGGGAGCCGGCCCCCCACAGCCCCAAGGCCCCTGCCCCGGGCACGCCCATGTCACCTTGGGAACAGCCGACTGGAAACCGATGTTGCGGATGGGCTGGGGGGCGGTGCTCAGCATGGACACCACCACCACCAGCACGTCGGCACGCCCGGGCAGGGGGTCGCGGGCAAAGTGGAAGAGGACCCGGAAGCCGTGCTGGTCGTACACAGTCACTGGCAAGATGCTGCCTGGAGGGGCGGAAGGGGAGTGCGTGGGGGGGCCGGGTACCAGCTCCCCCCGCCAGACTCGCTGAGGCACACGCTGCACGGGGGCTAGACCAGCGCCCAGACAGCCCCGGGAGGGGGTGCACCAGGGAGATGGACTGGGACGGGTGAACTAGTGTTGACACCCTGAGTCGGAGCTGGGGCTCCCCAGAGCTGCGTGTAAGCTAGGGTCATGTCCTCATTGTGTCACGCTGGGAAAGACGCAGCTCTGAGCTCAAGGCCCTGCCGGCTGGAAAGAGGGGCGCTGTGACTGCTGGGCACGCTGCTGGCTGGGCCCCCCCGCCCCCCGGTGTGCACCTACATCTCTCCCCATTGAGCGGGATCTTGGGGAGAGCCTGCAACTCTTAAGTCTAGCCCGGGGGCAGGGTCCGGGACCAAGTTCTCTGCCCACCCTGCCAGGAGCCCATGAAGCGGTCTGCTGTTACTCTGGGACACGGAGAAACCGAGTCCTGGCGGGGCAGGGGCCGTGCACAGCTCCTGGCCGGCTCAGGCGAAGCTGAGGGGAGCCCCGCTTTCCCCTGCTCCCTGAACAGCGCTCTCCAGGACAGGGAGGCGGCTCGGCCGGCCGCCGACTCACTGGGTCTGATGGACTCCAGGGGCACAGTGATGCTGGCCAGCGAGAGCTCGGTCGGGGTGGGCTGCTGCGGGAGCCCCGGGGGCTCTGAGGACACACTGTGGGGGCCGGAGGCGCTGGAGCTGGGCGAGCTGCTTTTGTTCTGCAGGTCTCGGAGAGTGAGCCGGGGCGCTGGCTGCTGCTTCTCCCTTGTCGGGGACGGTGCACGGAGGTGACTTTTCGGCAGCCCAGTGACAAGGCGCAGGAAAAGCGGGGCTCCCTGGCTGTCCCTGACTCCTATCTCAAAGTCTCGGGCTCCTCACCTGGGGACAGCCAACCCTTGCTCTCCTCCCCCAGCCCTGCCACTGCCCAGTGGGGCGCGGCCCTCCCCGCTGCTGCCCTCTGGGCTGGGGTCTCTTGAGGAGCTACGGGAGCGTTGGGGAGGGCACGCGAGAGGGCGAGCCACGCTCATCAACTCTGCTCTGGGGTGGTCCTGTGCCTGCCCTGGTCACTGCTGGGCCTTGGGCCCTGTGCAGCACACGCCACAGGCACCAGCCAGCACTGGCCTTGAGCAGGAAGGGCCAGGAGCAGCGGCTCGCGGAGGGCGGGGAGTGAGCCCTCACCACCGCACTTGCTGGGACTCCGGGGGCAGCGACTGCTGCAGAAGGGCCTTCCCCAGGAGGTCCAGGTCGTCCAGGCCGCTGCTTGCAGGCAGGGGTGCCTGCCCCGGGAGCCGGCTGTCCGTGCTGGGGGTCGAGGGCTCAGTGCTCTCAGAAGACTGGGGGGCACAGAGGATGCGGGTGGGTGGGGCTGTGCCGAGGATTTGGGGTCACCTGCTGCCGCCCCAAGCCTCTTCCCCTCCCTGCAAGGGACCTCTGGGAAAGCAGTGGTGGAGGAGGTGACACTTGTGTTACACGGGCCCCTCACATAGGGTGCCGGAAGGCTGGGCGTCTGCTCCAGAGAGGACCACATCCCAGGGACTGCAGAGCCACCCGTGAGAGAAGGGGCAGGGGACGGGAGGGGACCCAGGGCTGGGGGCCGGGAGCCACACCTGGAGGAGAGGACTGTGGCCCTCCCCCGCACTGGGACTTGCACACGCGCCTCCCACTCCGGTGCCCCCAGGCCCCGGGCCCAGCTGCCCTGTCAGGAGGGGTCAGGCTAGCTCCTGGCCCTCCTACCTGGAAGCTGTTCCATCCAGAACCATCCAAGCTTGGGCCTGATGGGGGTGTAGGGTCGCCTAGGCCTGAAGGGAAGACAGAGGTAACGGACTTGGGGTCCTGAGCGGGAGACACCTGGGACGGGACTGTGTGCTGGCTCAGGGGTCCCTGACTTCCTATCCCTCCACCCTCTAGGAAGGGAAAGACCCCCACTTTCAGAAGGAAGTATCAGCAGAGAAGCAGAAACTGAACATCCTGACAGCCCATTCCCGCACCCTTGTGCTTCCTCTTTTCCGCTCAGAAGCCAGCTCAGCTAGTCAGGACTTCATGTCTCTGCAGGGCAGGGAGCGGCGTGGGGGTGGTGAGGGGACAGGCAGCGGCCAGCCAGCGCAGTTTCTAACGGCAGACTGCAGGCCTGGCCTGAGGCCTGGGACCTGGGCAGCCTCGCCTGGCTGCTGGCCGGGTGTTGAGTGAGGGGCAGAAGGGCTGGCCAGCAAGGCAGATGACGGGAGCTGCTGCCCCGGGCCCTCCTGATTCAGCTGCCAGCAGGGGCAGCCTGCCCTGCAGTCTGACTTCCACCAGCCCTGAAGCGCTTCACCCCAGGTTTTACCTGGGGAGGACAGGCTACCCTGTTTCTAGCAAATCCTGAGTAAGTTCCAGTCTGAAGTGCCCCCGCTGGGTGCGGGACGCCACAGGCCCAGGTCACCTCCTCCAGGCATGCCCGAGACGCGGTGACGGGCCAGGCACCTCAGACGTGCGTCTCCCGTAACCCTGACCCAACATTCAGTGACTGGTGTGGGGTTCTCCTCCTTTTAGGGAGGAGCAAATGCATGCTCAGAGGAGTTAAGAAACATGGCAGGTCACACAGCCCCAGTGGCGGAGGCCAGGCCTGGACAGAGCATGACAGTACTAGTCTGCCCACGGCTCTGCCCCGCGGCTGTGCAACCCCAGGCCGGGACATGACCTCCCTGCTGTCAGTATAACGGAGCAATCAGGACGAAGTGCTGTGTGGACAGATGGGAAGCTCACTGCGCCCAGCGGCTCCCAGTCTGCCTGCTTCCGCGCGCAGAGCAGGACAAGCCCTGTGGCCCAGGCCCATATGCCCAGGCTTCTCCCTGTGCCCTGCAGGGCAGTGCCCGGACGCTTCTGCTCCCCATTCCCGCACTTTCTTTACTTCCTGTTCCCATAGTTTCTTTTTGAGAAGAAGCCAGAAACTGGAGGCTCAGGCTCAGGGCTCCGGGACCCAGGAAGTGCGGCGCACACCTCGCTTCTCTGAGGATGTGCCTTCATGCAGCCACAGCCGGGCCGGCCATACCCCCAAGTGCCCAGGGAGGCTGCTGCCGCCCGGCCGTGGCCCTGTGCGCTGGCTGGGCCCATGTGCGTCCCCCTCACAGGACCACGCTTTCCCTACGTCAGGACCGGGGTCCTCTCACCAATGGTCACCCTGGCTCTGATGCAAAAGGGACTGGCAGGTGGTCAGCCCTCGCGGGAGGCTGTCAGGCAGGGGCCCAAGTGGAGCCCGGCCCGATGTGCTTGTCCCTTCCTGGACGAGAGCAGAGATGAGGCTCACACACGGGCTTCAGAACCAGGCGCCTGAGCCAACCGTGCTGCCCCTCGGGCACCGCCAGCCTTTCCAAGCCGGGCCTCTGCGCCTGCCACGCGGAGGTGGAGGGCTGAGGTGAGACAGCACTGCCGCCCTCTGGCTCTTCACTCCCTCGGGGCTCTGACTGCAGGTGCTGGAAGCACTGGAGGCGCTCGGCTTCCAAGCTAGGCTCCCGCCCACCCTTTGCGATGGCCTGGGCGAGGCTGGGAGAGGAAGCAGAAATCTGAAAACTGCCTGGTAGGGCAGTTTCTGCTGCTTCCCCATGGGTGAGGCTGCGTCCCTGTCAAGTTCTGGAGCCAGACCTTCCTCAGAGTGACAGTGACAGCAGGCCCCAGGCCTGCTGGGGTCACTGGGTGCCCTGGTCTGGGCCTGACTTCCCCAGCGCCTTCTGATGTCCCGGGGCCCAGCGCCTTCTGCTTGCTCTCGGCGGGGGCACACTGAAGCTTGGGCAGCCCATGCCCTGGCTCGAACCTGCGGCAGGGAAGTCCGCAAGCCGCAGAGCCTGGCCACGCTGGCCTAGCAGGGGCGGTTTACCAGGCCGGCCTCACCTGCACGGCCTTGCCAAGCTCCGAGAGTCCCTGAGCTGCAGTCTGCCCCGCTCGTGGCCTAGTGTCCACTCCCCAGAATCCTCAGGCCTCAGAAGGGGGACACGCTGGCCGAGCTGAGAGCTTCTTCAGTGCATGTTGGGGTATCAGTTCCTACTCCTCTGGGGCCCGCCTCTTCCTCACCCAGAGACATGAGCTCATCATCCAGCAGGGAAACTGAAGTGCTGAGCTGCTCCGGGCTGGCCTGGTCGCCATGGTGGGTGGTCATGGGTGGGTAGGTGGTGCCTGGGGGAGGGAGATCCAGGCCAGAGAGGTCCAGCAGGGCCGAGGAGCTGCCTGGGGTGGGAAGGAGAGTCCGGTGAGCTCTGGGGGGGGACACTCGGCTCTCAGAGTCCTGGGGCACAGGCAGACAGCAGGCCCCACTCATGACTACCCTCCCCGGCTGCCATCTGCTCACTGGCCTTTCTCAGGTGGTGGTGTCTCTTCAGCGGGACGCGCCCTGCTCCTCTGCTTGGCCACTGCTTCTAGCCTGCAAGCCCTCGCTGTGCCCAACACAGGAGGCGCCCCTAACCTTTTCTCTGGCCCCCCAGGGCTGGCTTATTACCCGTATCAGAAGTTAGCCTGTAAGGTCTGGGTGTCCAACCCTCCCTGCTGCCTTCTGATAAATCATCTCAGCCTCGGCGTCACCTCTCCCGACACAACAGCTGCCGGATCTATCGAGCGAAGGCCTCCGCCGCCGCCTCCCCGGCCGAGCCCTGGGTCCCGCCCGCTGCTCCACACCGAGACCTCCTTGTGCCAACCTGCCGGCCTGGTGCAACTTTCCTCCCCAGCTCCTGCCCTGGGGTCCTCCCCATCTTAAGGGGCCAGGGTCACCCTGGCCATCGTGGCCACAGCTCCGGGACTGGCATACCCCTGACCCCCCAGGGCCCGCCTGGGCCTCTGCCACCGCCTCACCTGGGATGGAGCCGGCGGCTGCGTCTCCGTTGACCTCCTCGCCTCGCACCAGCTGCCTGTACAGGTTGATGACCTGGGTGAGGCTGTCGTTGGCCTGCAGGATCTCCGCTGGAACAGGCAGGAGGGGAGGGGCCAGGCTGAAGGAATGTGGGGGCAGTTGTGGGGGAGACAAGCACCCCGCATCCATCTCAGCCTTGTGGCACTACTCGCCCTTGGGCCTCGCTCCCTCCCCTGCCAGGGCCCCCACACATGCATTGCTACCCAGGCCCCGGCTGCCCTCAGGGCCTCAGCCACGTCATCCCAGGGAGGCCTCCAGAGCCTCGGCTGGCACCACCCAGCCCTGCCGCTTCTGCACGCCGCCTGCTACCACCTGCCGGCCGGCGCCACACACCTTTCAGCTCCACTGTCCCCACTCACCAGGCTACAAGCACCACAATGTTAGTTGACTTTGATCTCGCCAAGTCCCCAAAGGCCTAGAACAGTGCCCGGTACAAACTGAGCTGTGACCAGTGTCACCTCTTGGGGTGCAGCCACAGCTCAGAGGGATCTGGGTGGCGAGGCTCGGGGGAGAGCATGCGGCACAGGGCACATGGAGGTGCTCAGTGAACGCCTCAGTAAGCAGCTGAGGGGCGCCCGGGCGCCCAGACTGCTGGCTGGCGTGGTGGCAAAGCACCTGATGCGACAGGAAGGCAGCATCCGGGAAAGGGCCCCGCATCCTCCCTGGCCCTGCGCTGTTCTGCTCTGTGATCTGGGAACACCCTGTCCTCGGAGCCCAGGTCTCCCCCGTGGGCCTGCGGGCAGCGAAGGAGGCTCACTGCACCCTGCGTGGGCGCTCGCCGCTGAGGTCCTTGGCGTCCTTGGGGTCTCCCAAGCCGTCCGCCCTGGCTCTGCTTCCGACTTCCCCAGGGGGCAAACCCAAGGTGTGCACTGGAGAAGGGGGCCCCCTGGTGGCGGCTCCTTCCAACAGCAGGCACCGGGCAGCGATGTGGCAAAGGCGACTCGGCCCAGGCTCACCTAAGGCCTCGTCGTTGTCCTCAGTGTCGCTGGCCAGCCGGAAGAGCGTGGGCCGCATCCGCTCGCAGCGCTGGTACAGCTCCTGGGGGCAGCACGGGGACGTGTCAGGGCCGGCGCGGGGCAGCCGGGGACAGAGACCAGAGACGGGAAAGGCACCTTCATGAGGTCCTCGCCGCTGTGGGCTGCCGCGCCGCCCTGGCTGTGGCTCATCACCATCTCCGTCAGCAGTTTCACATTGTTGTTCACCTCCTCAATGGTGCTCTCCCGCTTCGAGATCTTCTCCATCCGCTTCTGGTCCTGGGGACAAGGGCAGAGGGCCGGGGATTCCAGGGTGAGTTCACTGCGCCCGCCCCTGCCAATGCTGGGCTCCCCTGTCCCCTCAATCCCGGTGCCCAGGCTTCCCCATGAGCTGTCAGAATTCCCGGACCCTCAGCCAGACTCTCTGGGGGCGGCCCTGGGACCTGGGTCTCCAGCCCGTGCACAGGGCCGCTGCAGAGGGCCAGTGTCCTAGACCTGCAGCCGTGGTACCGTGACCTCACCTCCTGTGTCTGTCCCTTGAAAGAGGGTCCCCAGACTGACACGTGAAAAGGACCCCGAGTGGTGAGCAGACACAACTAGACACCGATGACCGTCTGGGGCATCAGCGCCTAGCAAGGGGGCACCCTGGGTGTCGAAAGGCTGCGTGTGGCAGAAGCAGCCCGTTATCCCACCGCTCGCTGGCTGCCTGGCGCTCCCCGCGGACGAGAGTGCTCGTGCTGCTGGGGCTGGCGGACGGCCTCCCGGGGCGGCCACCCTGACGGCTGTCAGCGCAAGCTGATGTGGCTCTCTAGGCCCTGACAGCAAACCTCCGGGATGACTTATTCTCATATAAAAAGAAGGTTACGGCGTGCACGCAAACAGCGTATACGGACAAATCAAACGCGCCGTTCTCTCTCCAGAGATACACACACACCTGAATGTGTAGGTGTGGGTGTATGTAAGAAATACATACATTTAGAATACAGTAAAGCCTAATTTCATGCCAATTTTCACAGCAGAGGTAGTCAATCCTCCAGAAGCCTGGCCAGGGTAGGCCGGCTCACCTGTGGGAAGCCTCCACACCCGGGCTCTGGCCTTGCCCACTGGGTGCACACGCACACACACGATCCCTCCTGCCCGCCAGCACTCGCCCTCCCCACCCGCCGCCAGCCCGGGTGGTCCGTCACCTCCTGCACCATCTCCTTGATGAGCTTGTTGGCCGCCCGGAGGTCCTCAGGGTGCGAGCTCTTCAGCAGGCGGGCCAGCATCTGTGGACAGAGGGCGCAAGGGCAGTGCCTGGGGGGTCCGGGCTCGCTGCTCAGGTTCTCACGGTGTGGTGAGTGCCAGTGCCCACCGGGGCGACAGGTCGGCAAGCCGTGGTGCACGTGCCCCCCCCCCCCCCCTGGCAGGCCTGCGGCACCCCAGGGTGCCAGGCGCTACGTCCTGCGTGCGCACGGGAACCTCTCTGGAAGGGCGTGCGAGTTGCTGAACAATGTCCTCGCTGGGGCAGAAGTCGGCAGAGCGGGTTTTGATTTTATCCGACCTCCTCTGTGCTGTTTAATTTCTGACACACAAGCACATGTCTTTAATAAATAAACAACAGAGTTACTGCCAAAAGGCAAAAGACAGGCGTGCTCCCAGCCGGCCTATGAAACGTGTCACGTCAACCAGGGCCTGCACACACCCAGTGTAATTAGATGCAGGGCACTGTGGCGAGGACTCAGTGCTGGAAGTGGGGGCCCCGCGTGCGCCCCTGCTCCAAGAGTGGGGCAGCCAGGTCTGAATTCTCTCACCTTGGATTTTTCCTCATCTTCAAAGATCACATTCTTGGGCCGTGGAGGAGGAAGGGCCAAGGTGGCATCCTCGGGAAGCTTGGGGTCAGCTTTCACGATCCCTGGGAGAGGGGAGGCGGGAAGGCTGTAGGCCCAGGCCTGGGGCAGGGCGGGAGAGGGGTGGGCAGGCCAGGGCAGGAGGCGGAGGGCGGCCAGTCTCTGGAGGCTGGCTTGGACTCGGCCACTACCACGTCCAGCTGAGGGTAGCGTGGAGGCACCCTCCAGTGAGGCCACCCCACGAGGGCCACGGGCTGGGAAGAAAGGTGGCCCCGACTCACCTTCTTTCCACCTAAGTTAGCATCAGGCAGAATGACAAAAAGGCCCCTGGTCATCTGTTCTTGAGAAGTTCAAGGGCAGATCTTCCTGCCAGTGCCTCTAACGCTGCTGGAGCCCCAGCTCTGGTGGGGGTGAGGGCACCAGTCACACTGCCTGCCGGGGCCTCACCCTGCTTCTTGAGCATCTGGTAAGCCTCCGCGATCTTCACCTCCTCTGGCAGGCAGAGTGTCCAGCTGTAGAGGAGCTCCAGGATCTTGTTCTTCACCTTCTCTGACGTCCGAGAGCCCAGGTACTGCGGGGACCGAGGGGAGGGGAGGCCTCTGACGGTGCTGGCCACGCTTGCTGCTGCCCCAGCCAGACCCTCCCTGGCCGCCCCCTAGAACTTCTAGCCTAAGGGGTCCTCACATCTCCCAGAGAGACAGGAGCAGACGAGCTCGGCGCCTAGCCCTGACACTCGATAGCTGTGCCAGAAGGCGCTGTGGTCAAGTGACAGACCGATACAGGCAGGGCAGAGTCCAGCACCTGCCCACAGCCTGCTCATGTGGCCTAAACTTGTGACTGTGTGCGTGCGTGCGCCAGGGTCTGGCAGACCAGGGGGCCACGGAGGAACCACTCAGGCTGCTGCGGGGAAGCTAGGCTGAGGCGTGGGCTCACCCACTCTCCCCCAAGGGAGAAGGGGCCAGCTGAGCCCTTTGGTGCACTGGTGAAGGTTCAGTCTGAGCAAGGAAAGGCGAAGGGAGTGGGCTCTCACCCAATGGCCCTCCACAGGTTCACACCCCAGGGAGGACTCTTTAGGCACCCTGGCACGGGGCTCTGTCATGCTGTCAGGGCCTCTGCACCCAAAGCCTCAAGGAGGCCACTCACGTGAGCTGGGGTGGGGGGCCTCCACCACAGACCCAGGCGGGGGCACAGGGTGTGGGCATTCCCTGTTGCCCTCCTCCCTAATGAGGAATAGAAGCGCAGGGTCCCCAATGCCAAGCTCCCCTCTTCCAGAACCCCTGTCCAAGTCAGCTATGGAAGGGGATCGGAGACAGGGTCTGTTTGTGCTGTTTCAGGGCTCCCAGCAGAGGCTGAGGCAGCATTGGGGGTGGGGAGTCCCCAGTACGGTCAGTCACCCCACCCCCCAGGACCCTGTTTCCTCAACAGCTGCCTGGGTGAGCGCAGTTGTGGTCGAGCTGGGCACCCACCCTGGGGGACACGACCTTGATGAGCTCGTTGAGGAAGCGGAACTTGCCCACCTCGTCGTGAAACCTCTTGCCGCAGCTTTTCATGCATGTTTCCAGCACCTGAGGAGGGGAGCGGGGTGAGGCGCCCCGGGAGGGCTCCTGTGGGAGGAGCAGGAAACAGCCCCTCCCACACCTTGGCAGGACCCAGAGGCCCAGGGCAGCACTGGGAGGGCCACGGGACAAGACGCCTCTGAGGACAGAGGTCCCTGTGGCCCCCAGCCCTGCACCTGGTCGCAGGCCAGGTGACACCCAACCTGCAGGCCACGGAGCCATCCCGGACACAGCTGGGCAGCGACGTGAATGACTGTCTTACTATGTTTTCCACTTGTTTTAGAACTTAAAACAGGCACCACCTCCCTTGGCTTACCTCAGCTACATGACTAAAGTCACAGAACCAACACGTATTAAAAAAGAAAAAACAAACATGCCGAAAAAGCAAGTAAGTACTAGAAAAACGGTTTATGCTCATGAGTCAGCTGTGCTGAGCCTGGTCCACGCCGGGGCCAGACAGTGCGTCCTCGCGCCCTGCTGCTGGCGCGGCTTTGAAAGCTCTGGCCCGAGCCGGGCGCCACCGGGGGCTCCGGGCCGCGGCGCGCTGGCTGTCTCCGGCCCCGGCGGGACGGGCTGGCACTTCATGCACATGCAGAGCCCAGACGCAGAGACTCGAGCCGGCGGGCCTGTGTGGTCTGTTCAGCCAGACTTGGAGCTCGGGGCCCGAATGGGCAACCCCTGCACCAGACGACCTGATGGGGCATCTGCCAGAGGCCTAACTGGGCTAGGTCTGGCGTGCGAGGCTGCCCACCGGTTGCCGTGGGGTGTTGGGCTGGTCCAGACTCCCACCTTAGTCTTCCTTGCACAACCAACCTGGGTGCTACAGAGTTCCCTCAAAACTCCTCTAGAGTCACCATGCGGTCAGGGACAAAGGCACCCTCTTTCTTCTCACCGTCAAGGCCTGGATCGCCTCCCACTCCTGTGGAGACTGGATCTTGTGGGCCAACAGCCGGGTGGCAAGCGGAGGCCTAGAGAGAGGAAGGGCAGAGTCAGCACCACCAGGGAGGTGCCAGTGCGGGGCACTGGCCGAGGGGGCGAGGCCAGGACATTCGGGAGGTGTAGGCTGGCCTTGGGTGGCCCCCCCGAGAACTGGGGGCCTGACTCACTGTAGACGGGTGTAAGAGGGGACCGCAGCCTTCGAGGACCCAGTCTGGGCGCAAGACACAACAGTGTGCCCCAGAGCTGGGGAACTTGCAATGGCCCCGGGCGCTTCATGGTGGAGGTGGTGACACAGAAGCTGCCCTCACTCACGACAAGGACAGTCCCGCGGACTGAGTGCACGGCGTGCACGGGCTGCCGACATACACGTTCCTGTCTGACCCTCCTCAGAGCCCCCCAGGGAGGCGGCACTACGGCATCCTTTTCGGCCAAAGAAACACAGGTGCCAAGGCATGCACCGATGCCAAGGTGCTCAGCCGACGGAGGCTGGACTCATTCCCGAGAGCACTACAGCATGTGTGGAGAGGGAGTGGGGTGAGGACCCCGGGCCGTGCTCCCCACACTTCACCACCACCTAGCGGCTTGGGCAACTCTAAGCAGCGGTCCTGGCTCTTCCTGGAGCGGAAGGCCTGCAGGCTGAGGAGCACCCCGTTTTCTGGCGGGAGTCCCGCAGAACAAAGCACTGCCACGGCGAGGGCCAGTGGGTCTGGCCGAGCTCGGGTCGCCACTCACTCTCCGAGCTGACACGGCTGTGACTCCGTGCCTCCGCTTCTTCACCTGCACATGGCTGCAGCGAGGCCCAGCCCGGGGGTGGGCACGCAAGGGGCGCACTCTCCAACATGCCCGCACCCCGTTCCTTTGTGAGCACGGTAGGAATGAAACTGGCGCTCGACCCTGCACAGCTTTGCTGAGGCCAGGGCTGGAGCGCGCTGGGCAGGTGTGCGGGGGCTCTGTGGGCACATGACCGAAGGCGGGGCCACCTACCCCTCAAAGTCCTCGTTGAGCTGCTCACAGAAACCGTTGATGCTGGCCCAGTTCAGCTCCTTGTTCAGGGGGTTCGTGGCTCTGTCTGCAGGAGGAAAGGGGTCAGTGTGGCTGAAGGGCAGCAGGGTCTGGTGGGCAGGGCACAGAGTGAATGCCCATGCACATGGCAAAGGCCCCCATGGCGTCCTGCTGCCAGCCACCCCGAGATCCTGGTGGGACACGGCCGGGAGTCTCGGCCAGAGGCACCTGTCCACGGCTTCCTTTCGCAGCTCTCCCGAGGACCCCACCTTTACAACTTGTGCTCAGGGGCACTTCCGTTCCCACCACCCCAACCCTGAAGCTGTACCCCCACCTGCCTGCCACACCTCCCCTGCTGCTGCTCCCGAAACTGTCCGTGACTCTCTCGCATTGGCGCTCAGAGGAGGGCCAAGGTGGAGGGGTGATTGGGGGAGGTGGGGGGAGCCCTCAGGGTGTTGTGGAGCAGGGCAGCCGCTAGGCTCGGTGACTGGGGGCTAGGGGGCCCTGGAAGCAGAGGAGGGCACTCAGCGGAGTTGGGGTCAGGGGAGGCTGCCTGGAAGAGGCAACTCTGGCAGGGGCTGGAAGGGTTAGCCAGGCTGAGGAGCACCAGATCGGGACAGCCCAAGGCCGGGTGTGGGCAGTCTGGGTAACAGGGCTGGGCAGAGCCGAAGACCTGGTAAGGAGCGGAGGCACTGGGACCAGCGAGCCCTTCTCCCTGGGGAGTGGCCCGGTACCACCTCCTGGGGAGTCATCACTAACTCCGCGCTGGCCTCCTGGCACCGCTGGGGCAGCCTGCGCCGCCCAGCCAAGCGCACACCCTCGTCCTGGGCACACCAGAGGGGCTCCGCTGCCCGCCGGCCGGCAGGGTTTGGCTTGGCGAGGAGTCTGGATCCAGGAAGGGGCGGGGCGGGTGGTAAACGAGGCCTGATCCACCTCCCTGACGCCGATGCCGCTTAAATAATCAAGAGGGAACATGACTTTCCGGACCTCCAGCGGCCCCTCTGCAGAGCTGGAGTGAAGTAGGGGCTGACTCTGGGGGACCCAATACTTCTGGTGGGGTAAGGGGGGGGCAGGTGGAGCTGCATCTTCATTCCTCCCTGGAGCAAAACCCTCCTGGTCCGAGACCGGAGCCAGCGGCCTCTGTCCGCGGGCAGTGCTGGGCAGGGGCCTTGGCCCTGGGATCCAGCGCCTGCAGCCTCGGTTCGGTTCGCGTTTCCAAAAGAAACTCTGAGCGCCGGAGCACAGCAGTGCAGAGGACGGCGCCCCTGCCTCCAGGGCTCAGCCCGCAAGCCGGACAGCCGCCGGTGCGGCAAGAGCCCCCACGGGAAGCAGAGTGGGGACCAGCACAGAAGAGTTGGGGTGCTCTCTGGCAGGTGCTCGGAGGCGGCGCAGCCGACAGCGACCTCAATGAGGCATTTCTCTGTGGGCACAGACCTCTATTCAGCTCCTCAGAGCCTTCTAGCTCCTTGGAGAAAGGAAGACCGCGCCGAGCGCTGGGAAACCGGAGGAGGCCCCCTCACCCACCCGTGCTTGCCAGCCCCTGCTCGCCAGAGACCAGCAACACCCGGCTAGAGCTAGAGCGGCAGGACGGGGGTAGCTACCGTCCACTCAGCCTGGCCCGGGCTTGCGCAGGAACTTCCCTGCAGCGTGAGGCACATGACGCTGACTGCTAGAGTGGCGCCGGAGAGACCACTGCGGAGTCAGGGCCCGAGTCGGGCGGCTTCCAGACACCGGCCTTCTCGCCTGCGCCAGGCTGGGGCAGGGCCCGGGCTTTGGTCTGACCGGGTCTCTGGCCCCGGCCCCCAGCCCTCTCCCTCCACCGAAGCACCTTCCCTGGCTGCGCAGCGGGAAGAGGCCGGGAGAGGAGGGAGGCATTTCACAACAGGCGACTCCACCCTGTCACCCGGCTGAGGTGACTGCCATCGTTTACCCCACCAGAAGCTACCGTCCTCCAAACCCTCCCAGTTCTGAATGGACACGGGACGAGAAAAGAGCCCAGCCTACCCGCAGGGTCCAGTGCACCCCCACCCAGGGTCCCACCTGCCTTCCTGGCTCTCAGATCAGACCGGGGGCCTCAGCACACCACTCCGCTGCTGACTTGGACGGTTCTCTGTGGTACGGAGCCCCGGTCCCACGCCTGTCAGATCCATCACCCTGCCCACCCACCAAGTCAGGCTGAGGCCTGGACACCAGATGCGTTCTGGAACAGTCCTGGCTGCTGAATCCCTCCTTCCCATTCATGCCTCACGAGGGCTTGCCCCTGCCAGCACCCTGCAGGTGGCGCGGCTCAGGGGCCAGGGCCACACGCAGTAGAGGCTGGCAGGAAGGGGCTGACTGTGACCCCAGGCCACCCTGCAGGGTCAAGCTGCTGAACTGAGAACACCTGAGGCTTTGCTGTGGCTCTGGAGGAGACTCGGGGCAGAGCTGGCAAGGGCAGGAGTGGGGAGAGCCCAGGTCAACCCACGCAGGGTGGGGAGTCTGGGAGCCCCAGGAGTGACAGGCGGTGTCTGAAAAAGACGGGGACCCACCATTGTGGCAAGGTCTTTGGTGGAAGCTGCTCAAGGCTAGGTTTGGGTGGCAGCGCAAAGTCAGGGCTGGCGCTGGGGAGCGACACAACTTTCAAGGATATCTGCAGCTGGGGCCAGACTCATGCCAGTGGGTTTGGGCTTCAACCACTGTGCCGACAGAGCTTTGGGCTGCGGCTAAGGGCGCGCCAGTGGGTTCCCCTTTCTGTGTGAGGAAGGAGCAAGTCGAGAAGGGTTGTGGGCTCAAGGAAATGGGAAGCCAGAGTGGAGGATTCGGGGTTCCGAGAGGAGTAGGGTGCTTCCCACCCCGGCCAGAGGAGCAGCTTCCTCTTCCATCCCCGGGTGCAAGGAAGGAGTGGGGGGCTCAGCTCCTCTAGTGAAGTCTGGGCCTGGGGGGGGCGGCTGGAGACACCCTTGGGGTTGTGGGCATAGGGGGGGCCACTGCTCAGCCTCCCCGGGGGTCGATGCCCCACATCGGATGTGCGGGCAGCGCCCACACCCACTGTGGGTCCGGCTGCCTTGGGGTCCTCCTTTACCCTAGGGCAGGGGAGACCGGCCCCCGGGCCCCCACTCCCCGGGCGGGGGCGGGGCGTGAGGAGGGGGCGCCCCGTACCCCGCCCCCGCCGGCTCGGGGCCCGCCTAGTGCCCCCGGTTCCGGTTCCGGTCCGGCCCGCGCCCCTCCCGGACACTCACTGATTCGCGACTCCAAAGTCTCCGGCTCCATCGCTGGCTCCATCAGCCACGGACCCCGGGCACGGCACCGCCCCCCGCCCCCCGCCGCTCTCGCGGGACCTGCTCGTCACGCCCTCCGCGATTAAAGGGGCAACGTCCGCCCCGACGCACGGGAGCGGCGCCCCAGAGCGCTCGGCACCATGGAGACGCACACGAGCTCGCCTAGAGCGTCACCGCTCGCCCGACCCCTCCCCCAATAGGCGTCAGCGTCGCAGGCGGGACCCGCCGCCGGCCTCACGTTCACGGCGGTCAGGCGGGAGAGGAGGCGGACGGACAGAGGGCTGAAGGCGACACCATGGAAACCCCACGGGGCGCTCTAACTCGTTCTGCGTCACGGAGACGCCCTTAACCGCTTCCGGAAGAGCGCTCCGGGGCCATATTTCTGCGGGGCTCTGAGGTCACTTCCGGAGCCCTGAACGTGCCTTCCGCTTCGGAGTACAAGGGGGAGGGTCCCTTAAAAGGGCAACGACGCTAGGTGGCAGTGGGAAAGTGAGTCAAAGTTTGTTGCGTGCTTGCAGTGTTCTAGAAATTGTTCTGGGCAGTTTTTATATATTAACCCCAATACGCCTCACACCACGTCCATGGGGCCGATAACTACTTGACTTGAGGTCTCACGTGGCGGAGCCTGGCCCCTGTTCTGTCCCCTGCAGGCGTCCTGCACCGATGGGGGAAGTCGGCCTAGGCTTTGCTCCGTGGCGGGCGGGAGGGGAACGGCGAGGCCCCTATTCAGGGCGCTGCGCGATGGGGGAGCCCTTGCGGTGAGGGCAACAAGGAGGGACACCTTACGCCAGTGGGAACGATGGGGGTGGGGGGGGTCTTCTGACAGCTGGACCTCTCCTGATAAACCTGGTGTGGGAAGAAATCCCGGGTGGAGGGGCCCTCGCGTTTTGGGGGCTCACGGGGGAGAAAAGTATGATGAGCTCGGGCTGTGGAAGATCCTGGATGTGACGCCTGAGGGTGCTGACCTGGAGTTGGTTCTGGGCTACATCACACAGGTCCTGTGCTTAGGTTTTTGCTTTGTTTTGTTTCCGGTAAGCAGCGTCAGCGGTGTCAAAAACTTGACAGGTGGTGTCTGACTCAGCCTGTTATTACTGGGGCGGGGTGGGGGGGGGAGGTTGACAGCGCACGCAAGATCCTGGAGGAGGCCACACTGAAATCGGAGAGGGCAGGATGAACACAAGTCCAGCCTCCGAGCCTTTTCGCCTGCAGCGTCTCCTTCCGTCAGAGACTCCCCTCGTCTGCCTCTTCCACCCCGTCCCGGGTGGACCTGGTAACGTCACGCCAAGGGTGGGGGGGGAGGGGTGCGGCCACCTGCTCCCCTGGGTCCTTGCAGGCGTCGCCCCCTGGCGGCCCTCTGGGGTACCCACCCGTAGCGTCCTCTCCAGCCGCCCTGTCCCCAAGAAGGTTAAAACGACACACACTGGAGAATCCGGCGAATCCGGTTCTGCTTGGCTTGGGCCATCGCCCTGGCGAGCGACCTCGGTTCACCTTTCAGAACCAAAGTGACCTCATGGGGATACGAGGGGTCAATTACCCCCTTGTCTTAACTATTCCGCAGACTAGTTTAAAATTAAGACATTTTTCTAAGGTCTCCCCTGCAGGTCGCTAAACTTATAATGGGAAAATGATATGTATGCTTGTTGCATTCCACAATAAAAGTTGGAACATAATACGTACTTCCAACTCTGTTTGTGCCTTTTGTTACTGGAAGGAATTACAGAAATAAAATACAAATCCATTTCCCATATTGATTAAGTCAGCCCTGTATGGCCTGGATTCAAATTCTGACTTCTGCCTGCTTCCTAAAGCTGTGTGATCTTGGGCAAGTCACTTACCCAAGTGGAGAAGCTCAGGCTCCTCATATGAAGTACGGCTGTGAGATTTCAATGAATCTTTGACACAAGGATCCCCTTTCTTTGCTCGTTGGTCCTCCTCAGCACTTGTTCTCTATTACATAGTCCTCCTTTCATCATATTTTTGGCTTCTCTCCTTTCCCAGAAGATGCGCAGATGCAAGGAGTTTCATGCATTTGGCTTGCTGATGTAGCTGCAGGTTTAAAAGAGAAACTGGCACATAGTCCGCACTTAATAAGCAAGCACTGAGTAAATGAATGTGTGGAAACTAGTGTCCATCCTTTTATGGCTGGTGGGGTGTGGGAACTGCCTAACTGTGCAGTGGTGGTGGAGGGATGGGCTGGGTTCTTCAGGCAGATTTTAAACCGTGCCTCCTGGGTTCTGGGCAGCGGAGCTTGGTGAAGGAGACTCAGGAACTGTGACTGCAGAAGGCCTGGCCCCATGTGGATATCAGGTTAGAGAATGTTTAGGGTGGGTCTGCCTAGTGGGTTAAGTCTCAGCACTATGAAGCTGTCCACAGCCATTGCAGCACGAGTTGGGTCCCTGGCCAGGGAGGTGACCTGCTCCCCACAACTTTGGCCTGTCCCCAGCTCTTGTATGCATAAATAAACAAATCTTTTTAAACAGAAAATGCAAAATCAAAACACACTAAGCTCACTTCAAAGTTACCCAGACAGGCCAGGATGAGGATTGGAAGACTGTGGGGAGTGGCCCAAGCAGACTTCTTTGAGGGGTTGAGATTTTAGCTGAGGTAGGCTGGGTCTCAGAAGCATTCAGGCTTTTTTCTCAAATGCCCAGAGCTGGCTTTTTCTCACAGGTGTCACTTTGGTATGTGGAACTAAGGTAAATGGATGCCTGTGGGTCTCGGGACAAAGGGTGACCATCACATGAAAGAATGCAGATTGCCCAGACTTAGGGGCATCTCTGGAAACAACCTGGTCATTGGAGAAAACTCTTAAGGCAGGGCAAACACCCAGGGGCAAGGTTTTGCCCTGTGAAGTCATCTCATCTTGTCATCTGAGATCTCCTCCTCTCTCCTTGACACCCCCTGCCCCCCTTCCATTCTTTAGCTCAGGAGAGGAACCCCCAACTGTCCTATTTACTTTAGAATTAACAGCCATGTGAAATCACCATATGTATGCTATTATATTTGGGCTTTTCCTCCTGCTAACCTGTTTGATGTTGGCTTGCTTGTTTGTCCTGTCCAAGAAGAACCCAGAGGAGGAATGTTCCCATGTGTCCTGACTCTGAGAAGGAGTCCCGAGTAGGAAAACAGTGAATGAGAGGATCCTGAGGTCAGTTAAAAAGACCAGAATCGGGTATGCACACAAGCTTGAGTCTCTGAACCCAAAGACTTTGGTTGGTCCCAGGAACCACAATTCCAGGTGTCTCAGCTGATGGAGAGAGCAGGGGTCAGGGAAATGGCCCAGGGCATGGAACACGTGTTTGCAACCCCTATGCACTGTGTCACTGGGCGCAGGAAGGTTGTTTGTCCTGATTTATGAATTTACACAAATAAAAAGGCTCATAAAATATTAACAATTAGGCTTATTTCCCATATATTTAACAAATCATGTTTTTAAAAAAATTATTTTATTTATGCATATCAGAGCTGGGGTGTAGGCCCAAAGTGGTGGTGGTGGGGGGCAGTTAAAAGCATTCACCAGAGACAGGGAGGCCCTAGTAAATCATCTTTATTCAAAAGGATGACTTTTCAGGTGAAAGGAAATATAAATTTAGTGCAAATATGCATTTCTATGCTATAAAAGATGATTTAGTTGATTGATTGCACTGAAGATTTTCCCAGAAAATCTGGGTTGCTTGGGGACAGAAAGAAAAAGGATTTGGTTCAGGGGAGAGTGTGTCGTCTTGTGTGTGTGGAGGAAGAGGACTGAGACCATTCATGAAATGAACTTGTTCAGTGGCTTTACTTTCGCATCCTGGGAGGTTGAGGGTGAGGTGGGACTCTTCCTTGTGAATTTTTTTTTTTTTACTGCCTTTGATTCCACCAGAAAGATAATTTGTTATCAGTTATTGATTCACCATGACATTTACATATGTCATTCCTCTGAGGTAGGTATTAGTCCTCCTGTTATATAGAGGAAGAAACTGAGGCCCAGAGGTTAAAGAAAGTCTTGACTGAGGCCACAAGTTAGTGGAGAGGGGCTACCACATTCTGCTTGATTTCTCAGCCTGTCCTGTTCTGTTCTGTGGTTTTCCCTGAAATGACCACCTGTGTCAAACCCCTGACGTGAATTAAGAATACAGGTTCCTGGGCAACCTCAAATTCAGCTTGGACTCTCTGGGAGGAGGGTTAAGGAATTCACAGCCCAAGTAACCCTCAGCCTGTGCATAGACCCCGGTCCTCTGATGTCCCTGCACCCGTCTGTTCTGGGTCCCCAAGGATCTTAGAGCTGAGATGAGCATGTCTAGGGTCACGTGGACTCACATTACCTGTCTTAGGGCAGACAGTGCAGGGTAGCAGACCTCTGAAGCATGGCGGGACTCTGGCCCTGCGGCCTCATTGTAACATCAACCTCTTCCAGAGAGCATGCACATCAGTGGGGTCACACTTTCACACTTGCTGGTGACTGAGCTGTGTGCCAACACAGATGCCGGGAGGAAAAAGAGACCGGAGAGGGAGGAGTCTGAGCAATCCGTCAGCGCCCGCTGCAACTTTACCAGCAGGTAGGAAGATTGCATCTGCAGGAGGTGTGGCCACAGAGAGGCCAATACTATGACCCTCACCCTAATGGCTGGAAGGAAAATGAGACTTGGGGCTTCTCCAATAGGAAGGCAATATGCAAATGTTACTTCTCTTTAATTGGCTGACGGACAGCTGAAGAGCCCTCATTCATGTGCTCTGGCACTGGGATCTTGCCCAATCTAGAGGTTGCACAGGAAAGCAAGCTCTTGTGCTAAATCCTAGGCCTGGAGGATAGAGGTGAATAGGAGAGGCAAGGCATTGGTCTCACAGAATTTATAATAATAAACTAATAAACACATGAATAACACCATTTCGGATCCTGGCGGTGCGCCAGGTAGCTAGCTAGCTGTGAGCTCTCGCGGTACCGAGTCCTGCCTGAGTGTGTTCCCCATGCTGCAGGTGGTGGGATGCCTTCCAACAGGGACCTGAAGAACGAGTCAGCTTTTCAGGAACCAGGGGGGTCTGGCTGCGCGGGAGGGAAGGCAGGAGAGGGTGCAGCACTTCACTCCTGTCAGGTGAGTCTTGAAAGGCAAGGGTTAGCGATACAGTAGGTGCTCCATGATAAAGCTCTGAAAGGTATGCCTTCTGCTGATGTTTGCACCTCTGCCACCCCCTCAACCCTCCCTCTGCACACTGGCACTGTGCCCTTCTGCCCCTCTCCCCTGCCTCTCTGCCTCCCTGCCCCCTGCCAGACAAGAACTCCAAGACATCAAGAAAGACTTGGATAAGCTCCAAGAAAAGACTTTGCCTTTGACAGAGTTGCAGCTGCTGGGGGCGAGGCGGGGCGGGGCGGGGCGGGGCGGGGAGGGGACGGGTGTGTTTCCTTCAGTGCTGGGGAATTCTGGAGCTGGAAGGAATCTGCTGAGATCATTTATCTTAGCAGAGATGTTTTCGACCCTTTTTGTTTTATCAGATAGCCCATTCAAAGAAAAGCACTTTACATCAGGACCACGTGAACTAAATTTTTATGTACACCCCACGCAATTTCTTCCTCAGCTCATATTTGTGGGTTTCCTTCATGCAGGGAGAGGGGCCAGACGGCAGCTCAGTGGGGAGAGCCACCTGCAGGCACTGACCCCCTGGGAGCCCCCCCACCCAGAGGGCGCCGCCTTGGGCGGCTGCGGGGGTGGGTGGAGGGAAGCTGCCGGGCCCCTGGTCCCCCTGGAGGTGTGAAGTGTTTTCATCAGGAGCCTGGCGGTGTTTCACTGTTTTTGAGGAAGCCGCTTAGCCAAGGAGGAGCCATTTTTCTCCCTAATTTCGGTTGTTCTCGAAGTGGCCAGCAGGAGGGGACAAACGCTCGCTCTCCACCCGGACCCACCCCGCGGCTGTCAGAACAGGTGGTGGTGGTGGGGGGGGTGTTGGAGCCCAGACTCCAAGTGGGGCTTTAAAAGGCAAACAAGCGAAGTAAGTCGCCATTGTGAAGGTGAGGGACGCTCTGATCTTGAAAAACTTGGCTTTATAGAGATGTAGCTCACCTGCCCTGGGGTTCAGCCGTTTAGGGTGTAAATAGATATTTTCGTCGTTGCAGTGTTTTAAAAATTGTAGCTAAGTAGCATGGCAGAGATTTCCATTTTAACCACTTCAAGTGCACGGCTGGGCGGCATCCCAGACACTCACAGACAGCGGCAGGACTTCCAAACCCCAGGGGCGGTTCCCCGCCCCCCACCCCGTTCACCTCCAGCTTGCATCCGCTCTCTGCGACTCTGTCTCCAGCAGCTGTTTATTAGCGGTGGAGTCACACCATCCGACCCTTTGCTTCCTTCTTCCCCCAGTTTTCAGGCGCATCACGGTCCTAACTGGGTCAGCGCCCCTTCTCTTGACGACCAAATCATATTCGGTTGTGTGTTTAGATCCCGTTTTATTTATGGGATTGTCTGTCGACGACACTTGGGGTTCCCACCTCCGGTCTATGGTGAATAACACTGTTGTGAACTTTGGGGTGCAAGACTGCCCGGGAACTTGCTTTCAGTTCCATAGACCCCCTGGGAGTGGACTCGCCCTGGGGACCTGGCTTTTGCTTCCCTGCTGAGGCCCCTTTACCTTCGGCCAGTGCAGATGCATACCCTGATCTGAAAAAACCAAGCAGGAATCTGGTGCTGCCAGGAGGTGAACAGGTGCTGGGCAGGGGATATGGGGCGTGGAGACCAGGAGGCTGAGGGTGGGGACTTGAGAATTCTGCAGAGAAAAGTGGATGGGCAGGTCACTGAAACCTCCCACCTGTGCGGGGGTGATGGGGACAGGGGAGGGGCAGCGGGAAGGTCCCTGCGCCCACCCGCCTGTTGTCAAGTGTCCCAAGGGGAGCATGGCCATCTGCGAAGTCCACCTAGGCAGCACCTCACTGTCAACCTAGCGGTGCAGGTGAGGGGCCTCTCCAACCCCCACTGTGGAGAGCCGTCCCCCACCCCCGGGCAGGGAAGGAATGTGCTGGCCAACCCGTCTAGACTGCGGGGTGCTCGTCCATCTCTGCCCACTGCAGACCCAACCTGGCTTCTGCTCTCGCCTCTCCCTGGACATCTGGCTTCATCATTGCCAGTTTAGGAATTCGTCCCCAAAGAAGGATGGGGGCCATTTGTCGAATTACTTATTTATATCTTTTATATGCCCCTGACCTTGTAAGTTAACTGCTTATTTTATTTATTTTAAAGATGTATTTATTTCTGCATACAGGACTGGGGTACAAGCCAGAGGTGCAGGGGTGGTGAGAGGATTCACCAGAGACAGAGTGGGGAACAAAAGATTGATTGCTGAGGGGAGCAGCAGGGAGACAGGAGAGGTCTGCTGCACCGTGTGGGTCCCTCCCTGGCCGGGAATTGAACTCGTGCTGAAGCAGCTGCAGCTAGCTTCATAGTGCTGTGCTTCAACCCGGTATGCCACCAGGGAGGGCCCTAAGTTAACTTTTTAAATTCAAAAATTCAAAAGAGAATTCTGACCAGCAGTTGCGGAAGACAGTTCTATGAATTCCCATTCCCAGATGGAGAAACTGAGGCTTGAAGTGATCTGTCACGGTCACTCACCTTGTAGGTGACCGTGCTAGATGGGACATTACCCATTTGGTACCAAAAACTGGGTGTTTTCTGTTCCTCCCCCAGCACCTCCTGGCCCGTCTGTCACCCCCAAGGAGGCTCTGGGGAGGGCTGAACAGACAGGGGGTTCACAGGCCTCAGAACCAACGTGCCCAGCAGCACGGGAACGGTGGGTGGCAGTTACCAGAAGCCCCAGTGCAGTCTGCACCACCAGGCCAGGACGGAGGGGCCCACTGACACGCTCCCCTTTTTTGTAAAATCAGAAGAAAATGAACTTCCAGGTAGAAAAAATGTTTTAATATCTAATGTTGATCTCTTCATTCAATGAAGTCGTAAAACATCTAGACGACTGGGGACTCGTAATGGGGTCCCGGGAGACTGCGGGGAGCATCCCCACAGGCCTGGGACCCAGACTCAGCCGCTAGGCGAAGGTGTGTGGTCTCCTTCCCTGCTGACACGGGGCTCCTGATAATAAGTAATACCTATTTATTAATTATTAACCAAGTACCTGGCTTCTGTCCCTTAATCCTCACGACGTTTATTGTTCTCATTTTACAAAGGAGGAAATGGAACTCAGAGAGGTTAAGTGACTTGACCTCAGGTCACACAGCTCAGAGCAGGGGAACCAAGATTCCAGTCCTGCCCCAAATGATGTTGGAGACACCCCTCTCGAGTCCGGAAGCTTCTGAAACCCTCCGTGGATTTGTTTCTAGCTGTTTCCTGTGCCCATGCTTTCCCCACCCCCACACTGATGTGGTCTTGCTAAGCTTGGTGGTTACACTTTTCTCTAGGCAGGCTCTCGGTCCTGTGCACTTGGTAAAGTCACATGTGCTTGTGTTAGGCTAGGGAGACCCTGTGTGGCCAGCGGGGCCACGTCCTCTCTGGACCTGGAAGTACACGCTGGCAGCTTTTGGCGGTTGCTCTTCATTGTTGCCTCTTTGTGTAGCCTGGAGGCTTCAGATACAACCTGGTGAGGGCAGATTAGAAACGGCCAAGTCTTGAGAGCCCGCCTCTCTAGCCTCCCTGTTCCCTTAGTCGGGAACCATAGCAATAGGATGTCTCCCAGAAATGTGATTTTTGATGGCTGCATAATAGTTCACTTCTATTTTCGTAGCAGCGTCTACTCAGCCAGTCCTGTATCACTGATGTTTCACTTTCCAGCTCTTTCTGGATGGTGATTCAGACGTAAATGCTTATTACTTACTAAGTACTGAGAAGAAATCGCAGATCATCTGACTCGCTTGATTGATTGATTAATCTTTACAAAGATGAATGTAGTAGCATGTCTGGAGATGTGTGGATTCCTTAGTCACGTGGCTTCATGCATATTTCTCCCAGCACACTTCCCGTAACAGTTGCTTGGCAAAGTATACTACTGACCATTGCAGTACAACAAAGGCCTGTGGAGGGCCTCCCTGGTAGTGCATGGCCATGTGGGTCACTCCCTGGCCGGGGATGGGACTCAGGCCCCAGTGGCTGGCGATAGCTTGAGGGCGCTGAGACTTTAACCCCTGCACTGCCAGGGAGGCCCACCACAGGGCAGCTCTTAACACAGTTTGCTTGCTTCTCCCAGAGCTAGGGGAGAGGTAGAGGTATAGAAAGAGATGGAGGGTGTGATAGGATTCAGATGGGGATACAGAGAGCCACAGAGACAAGGAGAGATGCAAAGATCCATCCAGACCGAGCTGAGAGCCTTTTGTAATTCTTCTTTCAATGTCAGAACCTAATCTCCCACCCTAATCTCTGAGTGACATCCAATCACTTCCAGGATATTCTAGCATTCCGTTAGTTAGTGCCAGGTGTCTGGGCCCAGGTATCCAAGGGCGAGACCCCAGGAGGGGGATAATCAGGGGCCATCTCGGGCAGCTCACAGGGGTGGGTCATGCTCCTGGGGGTCAAATGTTCTTTCTCGATGTGAGGGCAGCACATGGAGATTGTCCTAGTAGGAGCTGGTGGGCAGGGCAGGCTCTGTACCTATGGTCTAATAAGGCCTCTGGGAACCTTCCTTCCCCATCTGAAAATGGGGGTAATAATAGAGACCATCTTTATGGCTTGTTTAGTGCATTGTGATGAGGGCTGGAGAGAGTGTGTGTGTGTGTTTAAAATACCTTTAAGAAGCTGGCACTACTGGGCCCTCCCTGGTGGCGCAGCAGGTTAAAGCACAGCACTGTGATGCTATCTGCAGCCACTGCAGCACGAGTTCGATCCCCAGCCCCTAAGGTGACCCACAGGGCACAGCAGACCTCTCCCGTCTCCCCGCTGCTCCCCTCAGCAGCTTACTTCATCCATCTGCCTGCTCTGCTCCCCACCCTATCTCTGGTAAAGCCTCTCACCCCCCACACCTCTGGTCTGTACCCCAGCTCCGTATGCATAAATAAAAATAAATCCTTAAAAAAAAAAAAGAAGGCGGCATTACTACAGGTTGGAGATGGGAGACTAGGCGATTTGGATTTTTTTCTCTTCTCTTCTTTTTTTTTTTTTTTAGCTTCCACTGACGTGAAACAAGCACATGGAAACGTGTAATTCAGACATGTTGTCCACGTCCCCTGTCTGTTAACATTCTTCTAAAACAAATGAACTTTCAAGTTCTTTTTACTTTGTGCACACTCCAGAACCTTATACAATGAGCTAGAATTACTATGATAATCAGAAAAGCACCACTTTTATAAGGTGCTGTTTCTCTTGGCTAGAGTTTGCTAACGAATGCTTAGACAGCTCTTTAAAGTCCTTATCTGGCTTGGGCTTTACTTGGGCCCAGAGAGAAAGGCCGAGAAGGAATTCACTTCCTTGTGGGTAAAATGAGGAAATCGCTCCCCTCGGAGTGCTGGGCACCAGCTACCTGTCGGCTCCTGGCACCGCTGGGCCCTCGGCAGGGCCGGCCTCCAGCACCCCGCCCAGAGTGGCCCCTGCCAGCCGGGGTGGAAAATGCTGGTGCTCGCCAAACCAGGGCTCTAGAAAAACCCTACTTCTGGGAATCTGCCTCAAGAAGTTGTCCTGACGCAGCCAAGCTGCATGTGCTAATAGATTTGATGCAGCAGTTCTTTTCGTAGCAAACACTTAGAATGAAACTATGTACTCGCAGGAAGAAACTGGTTGAATGTGTTTAGTCACCGAGCAGTGGACAGTGGCCATTAAACGTGGCTCTGAAGTGTGGGTTCGTGGGCCCTGATGGCTACTGAGTGCAGCAGGGTAATGAAGCAGGACACGCAGCCCCAGGAGTATTGATGCAGTGTCGAATGGCAGGGAAGGAAACACGCCAGGGCTGAGCAGGCTTCCCCCTCTTGGGGGACCATGCCCCCTCATTTTGCTCCTTATTTCACCTCCATGTCAATTACATGAGTAGTAGAAATAAAGAGCAAAGCCCTGACGTCCACCCCCCGACCCCGCCTTGGCCTCCAGCTTCCCCCATAACCTCTAGACATTTTCTTTGAATCCACCAGGTATTGCTTTTAAAACTGAGATGTGCAATGAGAAAAATCCTGGGGTGGAGGAAAAAACAGCGCAAAAGATTCAAGATGGATCTCGGCATCAGAGAAACGAGAAGCGTGGAGATCACGTCGTCTGTTTGAGAAGGAAGGAGCTGGCCTTGGGGCCGCTGGGTGCCTGCCAGGCTCACCTGGCCTTCGTGCCCAGCTCCTGCCGCAGCGGGGGAGGGAAGGCTGGGCTGGCAGGAGGCCAGGAGGATGCTCTGGGCTGGGTGGGGCGGGGGGGGGGGGGGCTGGTGAGGAGCCCCCGCCTGTTTGTTCTGGGTGTAGGAAGGGAAGGGTGGAGAGACACCTCAGTGGAAGGGACCAAAGTCCCCATTTATGGCCTTAGGGAGTTAATGTGTCTGTTCTAGTCCAGAAGCCCGGAGGGAGACCCTGACTGCACAAGCCTCCGGAGCTGCGTCCACTATGTCGGTGAGGTGCCCACCGCCCGCCCCACTGCCCACCACCCTCATCCTTGCCTGAGTGGGGGTGGGCCGATGGGGCGGGTCCGTTCTTGTGCCATCCAGCTTCTGGTGGCTGCTGGCCACATGGCCGCAGTCGCTGCCTCTGCCCGCACCGGGTCCTCTCCCCCGGAGTCGTGTGTCGCTGTTTCTGGGCCAGATTTCCCTCTTATTTTGGGGGAGCTAATGGGTAATAGTCTAGGGCCAGGTCCACCCTAAAACAGTAAGTCACCTGCAGGACTTCTGGGTGACACGGTGACTCTGGGAGACACGGTGAAGTCAGCGCAGGAGGTGCTAGGATGTGGCCGTGACCGGAGCTCAGGTGCGGGCCCCTCTGTCTCTTCCGAGGGCCTCTGAGGCCTAGATGGGTCCCCAACTCTCCTACTGGCCGTCTCGCCCCACCCCGTCCTCCGGCAGGGCCCACCTCATCCAAATCTTTTCGGTGCTAGTTGGGGAGACCGAGGACCAAGGAGTGGTGTGGCTGGCCCAGGCCGCTCGGCCAGTTAGAAGCACAGCGGACCGGACCCGACCCCACCCCCCCCAGCTTCGCCTCCCCGTCTCTCTCTGGGCCTCCAGCTTCCTGGAGTGGGGGGCGAGGATCCCAGACCCGCTTTCCCTGCATCCCTGTGTGCCCAGGCGCACCCTAGACCCAGCCTTTCTGTAGTCCCCCCTCTGCCTTGGGCCTTAGGCCTTGGGGTCTGCTGTTCCAGCCAGGCAGCTCCCGGGAGGAACAAGGGGAGGGGTGCTTTTCCCTGCCCTCCTGTCTCCGGGCCCTTGAGGGAGGCCTTCCTTATGACGTCAGTGTTGGGAGTGAGCGTGCGGCAGGCACATTGGATTGGAACATTTAGGGGGACTGAGATCATCCTGCCCAGAGAACCCCTCTCTAAGTGGAAGAGTACTCCTGGGAGAGACTCAAGGAGGATCTTGAGTGTCCACTCTGGAGGACTGCAATCCAGCTGTTGCCCTCAGCTGAGGCGGCTGGGAGGGGGGGGTCTTTGCCTCCACATCCACTTTCCCTAAGGCAGGATGATTCCGCCCACAGGGCCATGGCTAGAGGCACTGTTTGTGTGTCCCAAGTGCATGGACAGGCCCACTGCCCAGGTCAAAGGCAGTGGGCACTATGACCGCCCCCCAGATCACACACATCCTCTCGGCCTTCCCTTGAAAACACCGTACCTGGGGAGACGCCTTCTGACCCTCCCCGTGTGTGAGCTGGTCAGCTGCTTTCTGCAGAGCGGCGGAGCTGCTGGCCAGGGGAGAACTGACCACCCTCCCATGGACACGGCCCTGGATGTTGCGCTAAGCTCGTGCTCAGGAGTCCGGCCGAGCTTGTCGGCCGCTCCCTCCAGACAGAGGTGTCAGAAGCCCCACTCAGCACGCTCTCCCATGAGGCCATCCAGTCTCTGGGGCCTGTAGGGCCCCGTTGGGCTCAGCGCCTTCTTGTCCAGTCACAGAGGTGAAAGGCGGGTGCCCCTCAGCCTGGGTACTGGGCTTTGAAGGTGGCCGAGGGTCTCCCACGGGGCAACGCAGGCGCTGCCTGGGTCCTGCGGGTAACGAGCCGCAAGTGACCATCACGAGGCCATGGGCGGGCCCACGCTTGCCTTGGCCTGTGGCAAGGCCAGCACCCGGGGCTTCGCCAGCAGGACTTTGCATTCTCCCCACCGGGTGGGCGGGTTACCCCGCAGCCTCCGAGGATGTGCGGCTCACGGCCCGGGCTCAGCAACTGGTGTTAAGTCTGTGCAGCCCACGTTACAGACGAGGGGGTGAGGCGTGGAGGGGCGTGTGTGGACACATTCGGGCACGTGGCTCTGGCACTCGATGCATGAGTGGTTGTGGATGGGCACCATCGTCCTGGGATCCGGCGATTTTTTTTTTTTAGTAGTAAAATGAGTCCAAGTGTGAAGAGGGACTGACCATATCCTTGTTTGGGGGGTTCTGGAAGGTTCTACCGTGGCTTCACCACTTGAGCTTGTCTGGGAAGTATAAGATCAGCAGGGACTGCTCAACCCATTTCACAGATGGGGAAACAGGCCCCCCTGGCTGGGTGTGCCTCTCCACATCAAGTGGGGTGCATGAGAACGAAGTAGAAGGGGCCATAGGGGCTTCCGGAAAGCTCTGCTCAGAGGGCCCTGGTCCCTTCACTTTCCAACCTGGGGTCGTCGTGTGGGCAGGGGGATGGTGAGCCCCGAGGCCGAGTGGACACGGATGGAGCCTCCCAGGGGCTCGTGTGACTGACTTGGCTTGGAATGTATCTGTGTCGGCACAGGAGAACTTTGAGATCAGGAATATGGACATGAAGCAGGGGGCCAGCCTGAAGATCAAGGGCAAGATTAAGGACAATGCAGAGAGGTGAGTAAGGTGGGGAGGCGGGCAGGCGGGCACCACCACCCAGAACCCCTGCTGTCAGGCAGGGGCCCTGCAGGTCTCGCCCAGGCTGCAGCACTGACCCTTCCAAACCGTCACTGCCAGCGGCCGTCCCACTGAACAACTTCATCTACTCCACATGGAGTGTGATACGCAGTGCTCAGTGGGGTCGGGCTGTCAACGCCGTTGTTTCAAGGTGCAGATCTCAACGAACACAGCCAGCTCGTGGCCCACCAGCCTGTGCGGTCAGCTGTGCCCGGCTGGCCTCTAACCCTGCCCGGCACCGCTTCCCTTGCAGCTTTGTGATTAACCTGGGCCAGGGGCCGGAGGATCTGAACCTACATTTCAACCCACGTTTCGGGGAGTCTGTCATCGTCTGCAACTCAAAAGACCACAGCAACTGGGGCCAGGAGCAGCGGGAAGGTCACATGTGCTTCAGCCCAGCCACGGAGGTCAAGGTGAGGCCAAAGAGAAAGGGGGGGGGAGGCCAAGGGGAGTCTGGACGTTAGGGCGCCCTGGCCTAGAACGCATCACATTGGTGGGGCCACCTGGCACGGCCTTGGCCCACTTCCACGGCACCCCCGCCGCCCTGACGCCACCCCTCCCTCCACAGCTCACCGTGACCTTTGATGGTGACGAATTCAAGGTGAAGCTGCCAGATGGGCACGAGGTGACTTTTCCCAACAGGCTGGGCCACAGCCAGCTGAACTACATGTGTGTGAAGGGCGGCTTCAGCGTCTCCTCCTTCAAGTTGGAATGAGTGGGCAGCCGCTCCTGGAGGACTGACAGACCACCCGGGTCCCGGCTCACAGCCCTTGGGGTTCTGGCTCAGCTACCCACCCCCAGTTCCTGTCCCCTGGCCCCAGTGGCCTCCCCAAGGCCCAGAACAAAGGCGGTTTGGTGCGGTCTGTGTGGCAGGAGCTCTGGTCTGTGTCTTCTGTGCTTTTGGGTGCTCCCAGCCTCCTGGGTGGCCCAGTCCAAGGTCACAGGACTGCCAAGTGGGGGTTGGGACGCGCTCCGAATACCCCCAAGCACTTCCTCCTGTCCCCCCCCCCCCACCTGCCCTATGCGTGATGGGCACAGACTCAGGCTTCCACGCACCTGGGCCAGGGGCTGACCCGGAACTGCAGATAAGGGCTCCCACCTGGGTGTCTTATCGCAAGGACATTCCAGCCTGGTTACTCATTACCTCTGCCCCACCCCTCCCTCACTGGGGACCCTGGGTGGGGAGGGGAGGTCCTTGGCTTCCCAAACCCAAAGCTGAGTATTTAAGCCGGTAGGGCGGGCCCTTTTGCCCAGGTCCCCAAGCATCTTCCCAGAAACCTTTTATCAAAAAGGCTTTTTTTAATCAGGACCCAAGGCAGGTCTGGGATACACAAGAAGGTGGGGGTTCTCCCCTGGGAGGCCACACCTGACTTTTCTGAGGCTTCTTGGACAAATGAAGGGTCGGGGGGAACTTGCAGGGAGCAGCCTTGGCCAGGGCGGGGGCTCTCAGGGTGCAGCAGGGACTCTGCTGGGGGCACTCCAGGATGAGCAGGAGCAGTCAGGCCCCTTGGACATGAGACAAAGGCCCTGTGTGGCTTGCTCCCCCTGGCCGGCTTCCCTGACACAAAGGCGGCTCTGTGGGGCTGGGGCCTCCAGCTGCTGAGGGTGGCCCCAGGTGGGGGTGGAGCTAGGGAATGACCACTGGGTGCAGAGTGGTGGTGGGGGGGGCGGTCAGCCTGCAGGGCGTGTGGGAGCACCCAGACCCCAGGGTCTCCGCCCCCCCCATGTCCGTCCTGCAGGCTTGGAGGTGTCTGGAGCAACTTGGGGGGTCCTTTGGCAGGACCCAGCTGTCAGGTGAGGGGCTGGTTCTCAGCTGGGCTGTTCATGGGCGGCACCCCACAGGGCAGGGTTTGAGCCCAGGCCGGGGCCACTCACACCTTGACCTCGTCGTCCTCTTCCTCGGCATCAGCAAACGCAAAGGTGTTTGCTTGCACTGTGCTGGGCACGGGCGCCCTGGTGCCTGTCTGGGGTGCTCCCCACTCTTCGTCCAGGCTCTCCCAGGAGGCCCGAGCCTGGGGCAGCACCCTCACCAGCTCCTGCCGAGCATCCATCTCGTTGTAGTGGCGGCTGCCCTGGCTGCCCCCCCAGCCTGCTCCCCAGTGCCTGGTGGGGGGCACCCTGTCAGCAGGAGCACGGGGAGATTCTCCCACTGGTCTGGCCTTTGCCTCAGCCGCGGGGCCCAGCCCAGAGCTTACTCCATTGGGGAAGTGTCCACGGGCTGGGGGGTTTGAGGCAAGGGTTGGGGTGTTTGCAGCAGAGGCGGGGGTGTTCGTAGCAGGAGCTGGGGTCGGGGACTCAGCTGCGGAGGCCTCTGAGAGGCTCATGACCCCCAGCAGCTCAGTGAGGAGAGAGGGCCCGAGGTCGAGGTCGAGGCGGAAGGACAGGAGGGAGTCGGAGCGGCGAAGCTGCGGCTCGGAGGGGAAGGAACTGTCGCGGTCGCGGTCACGAGGCTTTTCCTGGCGAGGCAGGCGGGAGATGGTGCAGAACCCCGAGTCCAGGCCTGCAAGAGCAGAGACATGGGGAGTGAGGTCAGAGCTGGGGGCCATCACCCAGCTTGCTGTGTGGCCCAGCAAGTCATCCCTTGATCTGGCCTGCATCTCCCTGAATCTGACAGTCTCGGGCGACCCTCCTGAGAATCCTGGGAGTTGAAAGTGGACATAATCCTTTCCATTTTGCAGATGAAGAGAGTGAGACTCAATCTGAATGAGACTGGCTTGTGGGGACCAGAGTGTGATGGGGTAGAGCCAAGCCTGGAATTCAAATTTCCAGACTCCGAATCTGGTCCTAACCGTGGCTGGGGCTTCAGCAAATCCACAGCACATGGGCAGCTGTGTGGGTTCAGCAGGCAGGGTCTGGCTGCAGAGAAAGCAGACCCAGAGGACAGGGGGAGCCGGCTAGCGGTCCCCTGGGCCCAGAACTGCCCAACGGAGATGCAGGGGGTGGGGCTCTGAGGCTCCCGGCAGCAGCCCCGCCAGAAGCCTCGCAGTGGGCACAGCCGCAGGGCACAGGATGGCCACCAGGGGGCAGCAAGCACCCGGCTCTCAGGTGAGCTGTCCAGCAGCACCAGGGTGCCACCTGCCGCTCCCTGCCAGGTAGCTAGGGCCCCTGGCTTCTGTCCATGTGAGCAGCTTTCCAAATTTGTCAGGTTACAGGAAGCTCTGTTGAAATAACGACAACACAACAGCTCCTGTGTCTTGAGGACTTGCTGCACGCTGTGCTCTGGGCTGTGCTGCGTAAGTGCACCTTGTCACTGGGTCTCAGCGATGACCCGAAGGGACCCATTATACAGGCCAGGACCTGAACTTACAGGGGTCAACTGGCTCTCTGCAGATCAAGCAGAACCAGGATTTGAAGCCAGGGCCGAGCCTCCACGCCACTCACAAGGGGCAAGAGGCAGCGAGCGGGCCCAGCCGAGGGCTCAGAGGGCAGCAAGTTAGGGGCAGGGAGGATTCGAGCCCCATGTCCTCACCTTTCAACCCCAGGGTGTCCTGGGACTCAGCTGGTTCCTCCGGCCGCCCCCGCCCTCTCGTGGCCTGACCTGCATGGCGAGGCCAGCCTCTGGGGAGAAAGAGCTGGACCAGAAGACCCCCAGCCCGCAGAGTGTGGCCAGTGGCCCTCACCGTAACTGGAACGTCCGTCCGCACAGCCGTCCAGGCTGCTGTCGAAGCTGAGCTTGCCCACCACGAGGCTGTCATAGGCGGCCTGGTTGAGCTGGGGCAGGGAGATGGCGTTCTTGATGATGGGGGAGATGGCGGGTGGAGCGGGCGAGGGTGCCGGCGGGGAAGCCATCCGCCGGGGGGGCGCCCCCACCCTCCGCACCTGCTGGAGCTTCCTGGCTAGAAAGCTTCGGGGTGAGCGGTGGGTGGCCCCCGAGCTGCCCCCGTGGTTGCTGAGGAAGGAGGTGTCCCCAAAGACGTCCCCGCCACGGCCCACGTGCATGGTGTGGCGGAAGTCCCCCAGCGGGGGGCTGATCATGTCTGCGGTCAGCCGCCTCTTCCCCTGCGAGCCGGACACCCAGCTCACGGGCGAGAGCTTGCCCAGGCTCATGGCGGGGGCTCCTGGTGCCCCTTGGGGCCCCGGCATCAGCGCAGCTTGTTCACAGCTGTTGGTCCATGCCCCCTGGCACTGGGGGCCGGGGTGGGTGGGCTCAGGGCCCCTTCTCAGCTCTCTCCTTCCGGTGTGTGGAGGGGTGGATGGCCGCGGGTCCACTGCTCTCCTCAGGCGCCGCCCCCAGAGGCTGACGCTAAGGGGCGACCATGGCTCGTCTCTCCCTGAGACCGCCTCCCCGCTCTGTGGTGCAGCCGTCAACGTTCTGTTGCAGAACAGGAGAGGCCCAGCTGTGCCTTCAACGGGGATGGCACCTCTGCTGCCTGGGGGAGACCTGGAGGAAAGAGGAAAAGGATGCAAGGTTGGGGGCGGTGTGCAAGGAGGGACAGCCGGGGAGAACGGACACCCACAACAGAGACGGGCAGCCGGCACACGCGGAGGGCGGCGGGCCCCAGCTGGCACTGCGACTGCACGCCGGGCCGAAGGGCAGGGCAGGAACGGAGGCTGGCGCTGGCTCGGAGCGGCTGTGCACGCGGAGGCTGCGGACGAGTCGTGGGGCTGACGCCGAAGACGTGCGTCAGTGAGCCGCAGGGCTGGTCGGGACACGGGGCCGGTCTGTGTCAGCCCGAAGCGCCTAAGTGGCAGGCATGTCCGTTCACTGCCCATGTAACCACACAAGCCCGGAAGGAGGCATTCTGTTGGAGAGGAGAAACTGAGGCATAGAGAGGAGAAGCGGCTGGTCGAAGCTATGCAGCGGGCTAGGGGTTCCCCAGCCCACAGACCCTGAACCCCAAGCTACACTGCCTCCTGCTGGCGTATTGAGCACACACCCTCCCTTCTGCAAGGGTTAACGCAGGAGGCTGGGGCCTCCTCCTGGCTTTTGACACCTGCTGAGGGGCCTCCTGAAAAAAGGACCCTGCAGGCAGCGCTTTCGGGCTGCCCCTGCACACGGGCACAGCGCAGGCTCTGAGAAGGGCTGCGGAGTTTTCTTTTTTTTTTTTCACTTGATCCGCTGTTTTATTTTTTGTCTGAATCTCCTATTTCATTCATTTCTCCTTTGTCTTAATTATCTCCTACTTTCTTTTTTTAACATCATTCTTCATTTTGTGCATTTTTCCATATCAGTCGCAGTCCCCATTTCGTCGTTGCTTTTTTCTTCACTTTTTAAATATAATATAATAGTTTATTTTTACATCATTTTGTACATTTTTTTTTCCATCTCGATTGTAATCCCCGCGGGTTTCCCATCATCGAGTCACCCGTGTGCCATCACCATAGTCCCGTGCACTTCCCTACCAACACCCCCAACACCCATTTTTGATCCCATTCCCCACTCCACCCCCACAGAATGTCTCTGGAATATAACTGTTCATTATTCTTGTTATTTTCTCGCCTGGTCCATTATACTCCTGCTATGAGCAAAACCATCCGGTATTTTTCTTTCTCTTTCTGGCTTATCTCACTCAGCATGATCTTTTCCAGCTCCATCCAAGTTGCTGCAAAAGACATGCGTTTCACTTTTTTGGCTGCTGAGTAATATTCCATTGTATATATGTACCACATCTTTTTAATCCAGTCATCTACTTTTGGGCATCTGGGCTGCTTCCGTGCTTTTCCAATTGTAAGTAAAGCAGCAATAAACATGGGGGTGCAGGTATCCTTTTCAATCAGTGTTTTTGTGTCTTTTGGGTAGATACCTAGGGGCGGGATTGTGGGTCGTAGGGAAGCTCCATGTTAAGCAGTGTGAGAAGGCACCAAACAGTTTTCCAGGGCTGCGGAGTTTTCAAGTGGATGGAGCAGTCTGGGCACTAGGGAACAAGTTTTGGAAACTGCTCCATTGGGATCAAAAGCTGGTCTTTGCCAAATCCATCCCCTCCTGCTCCCCACCTGCTCCCAAGCCCCCCCCTTCTCTTGACCTGACCCCATCCCTTCTGATGTCATATGAAGGCTGGTGTGGAGGGTGGAACCTCCAGCTTTCCACAGGCCCAGAGAGGGGCCAAAACAGCTAGTTGAGACTTGAACTCAGAGTCTCTGACTCATGGCCCAGCAGGACTCACGGAGACCAGTTTGGTCTCCCCAGATGAGAGACACTCAGAGGGCGGGGCACCCCTGGATTTGCCTGGGCGCTCTCCCGCCCTCCTCTGAACTGGGCTTAGGTCTGCACCAGGGCAAATGTCAAATCAATGCTGGTTTAATCACGGGGCAGCTTTGGGATAATCTGCAGGTCAAAGAATCCCCACAGGCACCTTGGGGGTGAGGGTAGCCAGGGGACTGAGTGCCCAGGCATGACCTTGGGCAGTCACACACTCCGGGGCTTGGAGCCTCAGCTGATAAAAGCTGATAAGGGTCCATAACAAGAACACCTAGATCTCAGTCTCAACTTAAAAAAAAAAAACCTGCTGCCACCTCCAAGCATAAAAATCTCAATACTGCCCTTTGAATGTGATTTGAAATTCAAAATAGGTTAAATAACAAGATAAAAACAATAAGACAAAGCTTGCTTTGTGCTCTCACTACATTCTCTTCCCTCCCCACCATCTGATCCTCCCCCAACCTAGCTCCACCCCCTGGGGGTCTGATTCATCCCTTTCCCTGGCACCCCCAGCACCAAGAAGTCCTCTCCTCGTGGAATGTTTGTTGAAGTCATGAAGCGCTCTGCAGTTGGCCAACACTGCATGATGTCATGTGATCCTCTGACACCAGGCAGAGCTGGAGGGGAGAGCTGACGTGGAGGGAAGGGACTTGGCGGAGGTCAGGGCAGGTACCTGGCTGGGGCCAGCTTTCCGGGCTCTGCAGAGGCTGAGGGGTACAGCTCTGGGGGTGGGGAGTCCACATGGCCACATCTCTGTCCCTCCCCGGCACCCTGCCTTCTGGAGCAAACCCCCACCACCCTCTTCCTGGCCACTTTGCCCCAGAGGGCTTCCTCTTGTTTGGCACAATCCCACCTCCTCACACCTCGGGGTGGGGGTGCACCCCAGGCTCTCCACCTTGCCTGGGCGGCAGACACCAGCTCCTGTGGCCTAGCAGGGGGCAGTGCTGCAGGAACCTGTTCCCCACCTGGGGATGAGAACAGCATCAAAGGCTGGTCCCCTCCCTAGAGAGCAGTGTGTGGCAGGTGTCATTAAAACTCCAGATCCCGCAGGACCCTGGGCTTCAACTCTAACACCTTCACATTAATGTGTCTTATGTTGGGGGCCAGTGGCAGCAGGGACTTGGCACTGTCAGCGATCAGGTGTGCCCCACCTGGCCTGGAGTCAGCAGGGGCTGACTCCTCTCCCCTGCACCTGCACCCCCAGGGTTACATATAGAAGTGAGGGCATAGAAAGGGACTGACTTGCCCTGGTCATGGGGCAAAAGCAAGTGACGTGGCCGGCACCGTCCCTGAGAGTCTAACACCAGTGGTTAATGATGGGGGTTGGTACAAGCAGATCTTGGGGAGCATGTCGTGGGGGGCAGCCTGGGAGACGGGAAGACTCAGGTGTGCAGACTCGGTGCCTGTGACCTGATCGGTGCCTCAGGGTCCCACGAGTCCTCATGTGTACCCTTGGGAGGGCAGTCGGGTCTGGCACTTGGTGGGACTTGTGCTAGGGTGCTGACCACTGCCAAGTGCAAGGTCCAGGCAGGGACACTCCCAGGAGAGGCCAACAGGGGCCGCTGTGCAGCGCCTGAGCTGGGGGAAGCCAGGAGCCCTTGACTGGGGAGGCCAGTGGGGGGCTCCGGGTTTGGCCCTGGCACTGGCCTGGGGCCACCTGCAAATATGTGTGTGCACCCACAACTCTCACCCTGGAGGCTGCTTTCAGGGGCACAGCCCCTGCCCTGCCAGCGCTCAGCCAGGCCTTATCTTGGTTAGGGCTATTGCAGCCTCTGGAATAAGGGGTTAACTTCTTGGGGACTGCCTTCTTGAGCCCCTCAAAGTCCACCAGATTTGGGAGACAGTCTAGAAAGTGCCAGCAAGCTCTCTGCAGCAGCATCTGGGAGCCAGTCCCCCTCCCCCAGACCCTTCCCCCCCTCCAAGAAGGGTAGAAGGGAGCTCGGCGGGTCTAGACAGGGAAGAGGGGAGCCACACTTTTCACCTCACCGCCCCAAAGTGAGGGCCAACCTGCCCTCCTTGGCTCCGCTCCTGCCAGGCCCAGGCTGAGCAGAGTCAGGCAGGGACCCCATTACCCGGTTCTATTCCGCGGGCATATCGAGCCCCGCTGGCCTCGGGGCCAGCCCCTTCTCCTCTTCGAGCCTCAGTTTCCTCATCTCGAAGGTGGGCATCCAGCTCCGCCCGGCTTGCCCATTTGGATAGACAGGGACAGAACCATCTCGAGGGCAGTCGGGACTGGAAGTTCGGGAAAGACAAGTATTCCCACTGGGCGCAAGGGTGAGAACTGGAGGGTCGCCCCTCGGGATGGGGGGAGGGGGCGGCCCGCAGTCTCGGCCCGAAGGAACCGGACGGGATGACCTCATCCGCCGCTCGGGCTGGAATGCAGCGGTTGGGGAGGGGGCAGGGTGCCGGGCTCATCTCCCCAGCGGCTCCCCCACCCTCTCCACTTCCCGCTCTCCGCGCCAGCCTCGCCAAGGGGCCGACATTCCGACACATCGCCCCCTCCCCGCTCCTTCCCTTCCTTCCCAGGGCAGGAAGGCGAATAGACGGCCTTCTGCTCGCCCCTTCCTCCCGCGGCCGGGTTTACCGCTCGCCCCCTCCGTTCCCCGGCGCCCCTCAGCCCGCCTGGGGCGTTACAGAACCACCCGGAGCCTTGGGGCGTCCCGCGCGCCTCCCGCGGCCGGCGCTCGC